GTGTACCTATGTCCTATCTACCCAGGAAGATTGTCTAGGGGGATGAGGGGTTGAGTTGAGAGCAGCTGAGGGTGAGGGAAAATCAGACCAACAACAGCAGCCATTGAGATGGAAAAATGAGTGACACAGGCAAACTGCAAGCTGATTCAATTGGCTTCCATTGCATTTCTGGCTGACATGACAGCAAGCATCTTGCAGTAACCTTTCTGCATATCCTTGGCTGGGTTGATATTACCCTGAAGGTATGTGAGTATATTTCAGCCTCATAGCACTATCTGATCAGTGACTTGAATATTGGATGGGTAACTCTTGACAACACTTCAAATAGTGACACCTTGCTGTCATCTCTTGAAGAAGTGCTTTGTTGTTGAGAAATACCATTTGACAGAGTCAAAAGACACATTCAGTATACATTTTTCATAAATACTAGTAGTATGTTATCATTGAGGTCTTATGGTTTTTACAGCTGCTTTCTGCATGTTGTCAACCTTGCAGGGAAGGTGGTGCTTAAGGCTATAACAAACCTTGACTTCACCAAGGAAGATGCTGCCGACCACATACCCACTGGCCCACATGCTCAAACCATCTTTGATGCTATTGAAAGGGATCCAATTGCAATCATTTGTTCTCTTGTATGGGGTGTAAGTCATATGATGAGTGATAGCCCCCTTAGATTCATGCATTCTCACTTCAGCAGCAGTACTTTGCTGCAGTCTTGAAGCCTTGAAGTTGAAGGAGCTTCAGCTGCTATGGGACATTGATATTAGATGGTCCTCAACCCTTCTGATGATTGAGTGAGCCCTTATCTTGTGTGAGGTATGAGTATTCTGATCATATGATCTAGATTGGAAATTCATTGGTTCACAGGCAATCAAGAGGTTCTTGTCAAGCAATGAGTTCCCAGAACTGTGAAAGTACAACCTCAGTGGAACAGATTGGAAGGTGCTTGAGTTGTTTTGAAAGATACTTGGGACAAAAACTATAATAGGGCAGTGATTTCCCAGACTCAGCCACTGCCTAAGATGGGCAAAGAATGACTATATTCACCTATAATAGAGCAGTGATTGCCCAGACTACTAAGCATTAGCTATGAGTAGTAAGTAGGTATAAAATAGACTCACCTCAGCCACTGCCTAAGAGGGGCAAAGAATGACTGAGGAATCTGAAGTGAAAACTAAGCATATATATATGTAGTGGAGTAGGTGGAGAAGTGCTCGCTAACAATAATCAGGGAATAGGAACAGGAACAAGGAGGTGATGGAATTAAGTGATGTAATGAAATGACAGAGCATCCCTGGAGGCTCAGGAGTGATGACAAGAAAAGGATGATGAGGTACAATTAGAGTCTGTGCAACTTCCATATGAATTCCAAACAGATATTGAGACTATGAGCAGTTCTGCCTGGTGGTGGAGCAGAGGTACAAACTCTGACTTTCCAGAAGTGCAGAGTTGGTGTTCTGGTTCCAGAGTTCACTGTAGTTTTTCAATTTGTGGTATGTTGTTCTGATGCCAAGTATACATGTTCTAACACACAACACAGGTCTCTCATGCATTTCAACAATGATTATCATCAGAGAAGATGCCAACACTATCATATGCCATTCTGTCCTTTTGGGAAATGATGGTAGCTTGGGGAAAGCAGATTGGTGATATCCCTGAGCTGGAAGGTGTCATTCAATCTGGCCTTGATAAGCTTGACTCATACAAAGGTCACATGGATTCAGTCCCTGCATATGTTCTTGCCATGGGTGAGTGCCACCATTGGTGGACTTCATGGTCATATATTAGTCATCTTTGCCAGAAATCAGCCCCACTATCAAGCTTGATTGGTATAGTGAGGATGCACCAGAAAAAGTTGCTCAGATGAAGGAGCTTTTTGTTAAAGAGGTTTGTGTCGGTTCCTTTAATTCAAAACATGTCTAACATGAAAGATTCAGTTATGCCCTTATTGTGGCTCAAGTTACACAGCTCCACAGACTCCCCCACCCACAACTTCTGAAAAATCATGGGTGGGTGATGTTCTTGGGTTTGGTCAAAGGTGGCAACAATCAGGTGCAGACATTGGAAGTTGGGATTGATGCCTCCCTTCTGGACATGCAGATCAGCTCCAACCCATTGATGTATTGGTAGGTTAGTGTCTGCATACAAGTATTTCATTCATAGACTTACTTCATCTAGGAAAACCAGGAGCACTTTCTGACAATCTTTGCACTCGCCATGGACATTCTTCCAATTCAAGGGTCAGCTGTGCCTTGTGAGTGCATCTTTTCCCCTGGTAAAGAGACCATGTCCATGCAGCAGAATTGGATTGGGTATGAGCTAATGGAGGCATTACAAATACTCAAATTTTCATCAAGGCAGGGAGGAGGACTGAACTTTACTGCCAGAACTTCTTGTTCTGTGCAGCTAAAGGAGATGGAGATGTATGCAGATGAGCAGGTCAAGGTTCCCAAGGACCTGTCTGCTTTCATAGCTACACTACTTCATGAGCACAAAAGAGCATAGGCTGCCACCTGCAGTAGTAATTACCTTTTATGGACTGAGCTGATGGCTCACTGTGAGCCAAGCTGGGGCCACTCAAGCAGTTCATGAACTGTGGTTCACATTGGTGTGTTGTAAGCCACAGGCTCACTGAGCTGCCACAAGCTGAGCCAAGCCAAGCTGTGGCAACACTAGCCTAAGCCCTGGACTTGGGCTTGCTCACACCTCAAGCCAGGCCTGGGGCCCTCATAGGCCCACCATTTGAGCCTGTCCTGGCCTGGCCTCAGGGCAGGCAAAGTACATCACTAGGTAAGGTTCTGTTTAATCAGTTTTGTTGGAATACAAACATACGCACATAGCTTAGGTAATCACACACTTACCTTAGAGGCGTCGTTCAATGTTAAATGTGTGGCAGAGTTCCAGCAAAGTCCATCAATAATTAATTTTCGCATTTTTCTCTTGCAATGCTGATAAATAACTCACAACTTCATGCCTCGCTATTCAATACTTCTTGTACATTTGTCACTACAATGTGAATATGGTACCAGCATAGATTACTAGGAAACTTGGTTGTTCGTTTTCAATTAATTTTGCAAGGCCATCACTTAGGATGTCACGTCGATCACGTGAGGTTCGTCGGTTTCGCAAGACGACTACCTTAGAAAGCGAATGGCCGCGGGCCGGCCATGCGAAGATATACCCGATCTGTCAATGGGCTTGCTGATGATTTCTGACTTTGTCACCGACGTCCTTTTCACGATTCAACCTCTTTATCAGGTTCGCTTTTCCCCACCTTCAATATTGCACCCTTTTGCCCACTATGTCCGATTCCATTCCTCCTGACCATTCCCTTCCTCTTAACCATTTCCTGAACCTTCCGCGCCCTGACATCGTCGTTGGCGCAGGAGATGGCATCGTTGATACCACTACACTCGCTGCCCACGATTTCGATGTTGACACCCGAACGGGTTTCATGCCTCCAGATCCCCCCATCAGCCGTCTTCCTGAGGAATGGGAGCCCTGGGAGGCTACCCTCGAAAAAGCCTTGTCCATGAAACTCCAGCTCGCAGTCAAGTTGGGTCTTACTGAACACGAAATCGCTCAATCCTGTTCATGGAGAACAGATGTGCGCAACAACGTGAGCCCTTTCTCTCTCCATGCTACCCAAGATATATATTTTCGACTTATTATTGCTGCCTCAAAACGACACGTTCGTGCTTGTTATTCGCATGGGACATTGTCCTATTTATCCAGTTACCCATGCTCTCAACAAAAGCTCTTACAACCTCCGAGTTGCTACTCCGCCGAGCGCATCATGTGCTCACTTATATCATGCATTCTTACATCCATACACTCCCGCTGGACGCCGAAATCCGGATCCCAGCGTCCATCTCCATCCCCCTCCTGGAGGTCTCAGCCCACCTCCAACTCCCACCTGTAGCAACCTACTCCGACACCGTTCTATACAATTGGGACCTTAAATCACCGTCCGAAGAAACAGTCCCACCCGCGCTCGATAACCTCCGTAGTCAAGAGCTTTTCACGGGCTCCAACGACGAACAAGAATTCTACCTCGCCTCGTCCCGCATCGAGATCAAGGGCGTAGAGGCCCTCGAACTCATGCGGGCTACCATGGACGAAATGTTCGTTGGTGACGAGATCGCCGTCAGACGTATCACGGGCTACTTGCATAAATTGGCCGCTGTCGTCGACGAGCTCAAGAGCATCCTCCTCGACGTCCGGAAGGGGTGCGAGCCCGAGTTCTTCTATCACAGCATCCGACCTTGGTTCCGCGGAGAAGACTCTGATCCGCTCAAGCGCAAATGGGCGTTTGAAGGGCTCGAGGAACATCCCGAGATAGCGCAGCCGACAGATCTGTCGGGACCGAGTGCCGGTCAGAGCGCGCTTATCCACGCACTCGATATTTTTCTCGGGTTGGATAATTGTAGTGCGGGCGAGGAGGGCGCGTTGTCTGAGGACCAGCGGACGCTGCTTCGGCGCATGCAGATCTACATGCCGAGACATCACCGCAACTTCCTCCGACACCTCTCTGCTAACCCACGGCCTGTGCGGAGCCTCGTGATGCAGGGAGACCCCAAACTTGTGGAATCATACAACGATGCCGTACGTGCTGTCAAAGTGTTTAGAGATGCGCATTTTCGCATCGTCACGATATATATCATTGGTCCAGCGAGTCGCGAGAGGCAAGCACGGCGGGAAGAGGAGGAGGCTGGCTTGGCGGAGAACAGACCCCCTTTGAAAGGCACTGGGGGAACTCATCTTGCGCACTTTCTAAAGGGGGTCCGAGACAAGACAGCGGAGGCTATGGTAACTTCTTGATCTCTTCCCCTCATAGATAACATATTCGCATAACTTTTTGTTATTTTTATTGATTCATACAGAAGACCGCATATGTATTGATGTAGACTCCACGAATCAAATAGAACTCCACTGGTACGATCTTCATATCTTGGGGTACCAACCTATGTAGGACGGGGTGTATGATCAGAAAAAAAATATGACAAGAGGGAGATTCGAACTCCCGCCTCCATACGGAGATGAGAAACCTGACACTATCAGGTAAGCTTAGGAAAGCTTGAGTCACACGCCTTGGACCGCTCGGCCATCTTGCCATGGAAATTACAGACACATTGCTAGATGTCGGTCGACGTGGGTATGGTTAGCGAATTTTGCACTTGTCGCGTCGTCTCAGCCACAGGTTGGTGGCTATGTTTGTTCCACTTCCCTGTTGGGACAACGCCAACGCTCTCGCATCCAGACCCACCCACCATCGCGTGCCCACTCGCTCGGAGGTGTGCTCGATTCTAAGAACGAGGTCGCCAAGTCAGGTCGCTCAAAATTGCGCAAGGTTGAATATGAGCATGGTTTTGGTAATGCCACCGCTTACCTATGGGTCTGGACCAGGCATAGGTCGATGGGTCTAACTCAGGCCCAGGACCGTGTACACGGGGTAGGCAGAGCGGCCCATCAGCAGGTGGCGTTGGCCCGTTATCTTCGTTATCTATCTTGGATTATTGCAAATACCTATGGTATGCCTAGATGGTTATCATTTTATATTCTAACCTTCCCTTGTCACGCTCGCGACATAGCATTGCAGATGGCTTGAAGTATAAAGTTCGACCTCAAAGAAAACTACCACACCTACCCTTACTCAAATGTGTTCTAGCACGTAAAAGAAAATAATCAAACACAAGTCACCAAGTTTTGGGACCAGGGTAGATATCTATCAAGCTCAGAGTTAAGCTTATTGGGTGGCGTGATGTGACTGAGGGGTCAGTTTAGAGAATAGGGTGTCTCAAGGTATACCTGCATATTTTATCCAATTGATTAGATTAGATTACTATGAGCTCCGGAGTCGGTCTGGATGCGAGAGCGTTGTCCCAACAGGGAAGTGGAACAAACCTGTGGCTGAGACTGCAACATTCTACCGCGGACGTCTCGCTAACCATACATGGGTTAGATCAGTCACGACTCACCAGTTAGAGAGCGGGGATGAAACAACTCCGAGCGCTGTCAACCTGAAAGCAGCGCAACGTCTCGAACCAAGTTGGATGTTGGCACCCAGCCCTGCTCGTCGGACCCGTGTTACTGAAGCATCTAGGCAAACTACGCTATAGGGACAGACGTTCTCACTGATAATGGATCCAAGGATAATGATTTTGTGGCCCACACCGTGCTCGAGGTCCGCCTCCGATGCTTCATTGCTCCATGACAAGTTTGACAGCATCTGTTCTTGTTTTCGGTTCGCTCAGACTATTTTCTGCTACATCGGTGGCGCTCCCCACTCACCAACTCCAGAACTATCTGCCTTGCCTCACGCATGTGCTTTTCGTTCGTCGGTCGTTCCTCTTCGTGGTCAAAATTTAGCAGCCGCGTACCTCGGGGGTGGCACAGCAGTCGCGTTTGGAAGCGACTTGCTCTCGGTTTGGAGGCCTATGACCTGGCGCTAGTGGTGGACGGGCCTGGCTTGGCCTGAAAGCCCTGGCTTGGGCCGCACTGCAGCTATCCACCGTGGTCTCAATTCTCCCCAACGGGAAAATGGAACCTTGGCTAAATGGTTTAAAGGGTCACGCTCTCCTCGAGTATCAGCATCCTACCACCTCTAGTGCATTTGCTCTTGTCCTACCTCGACCAACCATGACAACTGTAAAAGCCAGAGACTACTACCCCATCACCGGTCGAAGCACCACTGGGGGGACCTTTGACCGCATTCCTGTCGATGAGCTAAAGACTGATCATCCCCACCAGTGGACACTCTTCGTCCTCGGTTTTTCTTGGATCAAAGGCACACCGATCCCCTTCCCCGGAGTCGTTCAGCCACCTCTCAGGACCTCACTTTCCCTCATGGAAATAGGGGGGATCCATGGCAGACCCTACCGCGAGTGGGCAGGCGATCGCAGGACTGATGAAGAAGCTCTGGCCGATTTTGACGCTGTCGACAAGAAGGACACGAACCCTTCCCCGTCGAGATTTGGAGGTGAAGTCAACTCCCTTATTTATTTATTTTGGCTTAGCTTGACATTCTACGCAGGATACTGCAAGTATGTGCCTCGCATCCTATCCTAGGTGTACCTGTCTTACACGAATAACTAGCCATGCCGCGATCACTTTCCCATCTTGGCACCGCCCCTACGTCATGCTCATTGAAGTTCGTGGTCGTTCATGATTTCACTTCCGTCAGCTAACGAAGTATTTTCGTAGCAAGCCATTGGAGACTACGCTGAGAATGTTGCGCAACAAATCGAGAATTCGAACCCTGGGGAAGTCGGCCTTTGGGTTAGCGCATCCAAGCAACTTCGTTTCCCGTGCGTCCTCGTTTTGCCTCGTCTCGATCTTGTGCCTGATCTCAGGCAGATACTGGGACTGGGCTGACCCCAAAGTCGAGGAAGAAGGACTTCCTTCTCTCTTCTACGACGATGAGTTGACCATAACAGCGACGGGGCACAAAATTGTGACCGTGCCTAACCCCCTCTCGTTCTTCAACTTCCCCTACATCCCTGAGGACTTCAAGGACACGGCAAGGGTAAGCGCTATGGTTAACCACACTGCATATGTCATAACATTAGTATCGGCCACCAATTGCAGAATGGTGTCACCGCACATTTCAGCGTGTGGCCAAAGACTTATAGGCATGCAGCAGATTCAGCAGCCCCTGTTGGCAGCAACATTGCTGATCTACAAACGTTGGTGAAATTGGTTATATCAGAGACTCGCACCTCATCTTCGTGTCTCCAGGACTCTCAAGCAACAGGCTGAGGATCTTAGGACGAAAGTTGGCATGTTGTTCTCGTTCCCGGATGGTGGAGAGTCTTCCATAATGTGAGGGGACGTGCTCTTTCAATTCCCGACCAATCTAACTCCGTGACTTCAGCTACGACCAGTTTTCAAACACGCGCAACGAGTCTCGCCAGGAGGACGACTACACCGCCGTCGGCTCTTTGGAGGGAGTGCATAACTCTATTCACGGAGCTATCGTACGTCTTACATTGTTGGCGAACTACATAAGCTAACCACAATACACAAAGGGTGGGAACGGGCATATGGTCAGTGGTTCGTGCTCTGAAACAACTGATCACTGAGTTGTCTCGCCCATGCAATCAGGGTAACCCGGACTATGTAAGTGCGCTTTCAACCTAGTTTCCATGCAGACTGAGTGCCGGAATGTTTTAGGCGGGATTTGACCCTTTCTTCTACTGTAAGTGGGGTTACCGGGAAGCGCTCTTTTCTGATTCCGATTACCATGCAGTCCACCACTCTAACGTCGACAGAATCAGTACGTACTGTTTGGAAGATGAGTCGTCTACACTCTAACCCATGTTGACAGTTTCGTTGTGGGAGTGGTGCTACACTAGCTATTGGATGGACAACGGCTATACAGTCGAAGGAGTGGATTACAGCTGGAACCAGGTCAGTGTTGTACATTTCACTAGGGTCAAAAGGTGACCCAGCGCCTCCAGCAATACGGAACGTATGCTCAAGCGTACAACGAAAAGCTTGAGGAAGACGGCGAATTTGGCCGCCTCGTTCCATGGAGGCACCCGGATGGTACTTATTGGACGAACAAAGAAACTCGCTTCCTCACTCCAGATGCTTTCCCCAAATGTACTGTCCCCTTGCTCCCCCATCTCTCCTTGAATGGATTTAATGTTTCGCCTCCAGATTACTCCTACAAGGAATTCCTAGGCGTCAAAGTTGACAAGGCAGCGACCAGCCTCCAACAGCAGCAAGAAGCGCGCGCGAGGATCGCGAAGTTCTACAGCATCGACCCTCAGATGTCAGCACATAAGACCACCATGCTGGCTCACGTCCCTGTTCCGGGCGTCGGGGAAGTTGACCTTCCATCCAACTTCCAGTCTATCAAGGGCTTCCGCCTGTTCATTATTCTTGCCAGGCTCCCCGAGCACGCATTTGGTCGCTCGTACAACTTCCAGGTGTTCTACAAGGAGAACAACCTCATTGGTAACATCACTGTTTTTGCGAGAGAGGATGACTCCCCTTGCAAGGCCTGCGCCCTCCGCCGTGAGAGTGCGTCACTCGTTCGTGGAGTGATCTCCATTCCTCCTCGCATCATCCACGAAATCATCGTCGACAGCGGTATTGACTGTGACAATAACACCATGGACATTACAACAGGTCTCGTCACCAAAGCCTTGTCAGGCAAGCTCTTGGACCTGTCCGGAAAAGTACTGGCGTCTGCTCAGGGTGGCGAAGAAGTCGCTGCAGTCCCAGCTAGCCACGCTGCTTCCAAGAGGGTCCAGCCCGTCGAGACTACTTTGTTGTCTTCAGCTATTGCTCAACACGCCGACGACAAGAATCAGCCTGTTTACTTCTTTGACTGGATGCCCCACAAAGGCCTATTCCCGGTGCGTTTGACCAGGTTATCTACCCTTTTGAATATCCGCTGATCTAGCGTCTTAAAGAGCGGCTGGAAGGCCGAGTCTATGGCGGCCACCTCTACCCAATGAGTGCACCGAGTAACTCGTAAGATCTCGAAGGAGGGGGATATATTATACTTCCAATCAGTCTTGGGAAACCGCGATGTAACAGCACCATGCATATATGTACGAACTTGAAGAAATAGCGTCGTTTTATTGTACGAGTCGTGCTGTCTGTGGCTGGACTTGATCTCGACATCTCACTGAACATCACAACACTTGAACAGTGGGAATTGAACTCGAATCAACCCGCCTACTCCCTCGGTCTGGAGACGATATCAGCACATACAAAATAATCATACACCTCATCCGATGTCAACAGCGTGTCCGTGCTTGTGCTGGTAGGTACAAAAAAAGCCGACAGGGGCTATTTTCCTTGGATGAGAGACCAAACCCTGCGAATTTAGCGTAGGGCGATTTACCTCGTGGAACTCGATGAAGGCAGCGGCTATAAAAGAAATGGCGCCAGCACTCAAGTGATCGCGAACAAGGGGGTGTAGGTGGTAAAAGACTCGTGCACAATGGTCCACATAACCGTCACCTTGGAGCCCTGTTCCACCATGGATCTTCTCCCTGTACCCGCCCGTGTCTGCGCGGTTGTTAGTGTAGCGCATGGGTCCCGCCTCTCCGAGAAAGAAGAACCATGTTAGGGTCACGAACGCGGGGTGAAGGAAGGA